CTCATTCTGAAGTCCTTTAAGAAGTCCAGGATAATGAATTGGTCATTATTTTATTACTTCCCCAAGAGGTATGAAATAACGTCAAAACAATATTGAATAATTCCTACTACCACAGACTTGAGGTATGTTATATGTGGTACACATAAACAGCAATACAATAGATAATTCCTGAATTAATAACTCCTAAAGCATCACCTTAAAAAAAATTACTCCATGAAAGGTATTTAGTAAGCCAAAAGACAGCATTCCTCATTTTATGGTAAAGATAAAAGAACTATCGAAAAGGGGCCAGTATCTTCCAGAAAAATTGCATTATAATGTTCTGCTAAATAGGCAGTCCACTTGAAGGAACGTTGCTGACAGAACCACTTTGAGCATAGAAGAGAAAGTGATTTAACAGTTGATGCTTTTCCCAGTGTACTTCTTTGATCTGACACGGCCCCTGAACAGCAGTGAGTCCGTTAACAAGGTGAGTAAAAGGGAAAAATACTAAATCAGTCATCACTTTTGAAAATGTCTTTCTAGGGTAGCACCACCACAACACAAACATTGATGATGAATCCTCTGCTATAAGCCAGGCTCTGGAGGATTCTGAGAGCCCCTATTCTCACTTGACTATACAGAAACTTATCAAGAGGACAAAGAAGAGAATGGCTGCAATTTTCTTGGATGGCTTTAGGAGGCCTGGACCACCAACATTACTCCCTAACCCTGGCAAGGAAAATTGTCAGTTGTTAATGTTTAATGTTTCTTACAGTTAGCAGACAAATTTTAGGTAAAATATGGTACAATGTTGTATTTTATAACATTTTATAATGATTGACTTTAAAATGCAGTTTCTAGTTAGATACTTTGGCAAAAAGTAGAGATTCTCAACTGTAGTCACTCATCCGCAAGAACCTATGAAACTCATGGTGACTTTCCATTGTTTAATAAACACTATGCTAGCTACCTTCTAAGTGGTATGTAGACAGTTTTGAAAGCCTCCTTTATAATTATAATTTTTATCATTAAAAATAATGGCAGAGTAACATATATCAGACCAATTCTCTTGCTTATAATAATTATCAACTCTGGACAAAATATTAAAGGTACCAGAGAGCAACCAAAAGCGGGCAGAAACTGGAAGGGATATTAGCATCAAAAAAAGAAAAGCCAACTATAGGAAACCTACATTTATACAGCTTTTTCCTTGAAGGTATTCCCCAGCCCATGCAGCACAAGAGGAACAGAATGCAAGCAGAAAATGGAAGTCTTACTGGGCTAAGGAGTCAAAGGTATCTGGAACTGTCAAAGCTGCTGGAATTTGAGGAAGAGAAATCCTGGAAAAGACAGAACCACAGAGGGGTAGCCCTAAAAACAGCATACAACTCCACTCAAATCCTTAAATGATTCCTGACTGTGCATGAACAAGACGATACTTAGGAACTCAAGGGAAAGCAAGAACTGGAAGGCCAAAAGGCTGAGCAGGGTTCTTAGGAGTCAGAGGTATGCATTCAAGTCCCACCAAATTAGAGGAGCTTGGGAAAAACCCAGAGCTTGGGAACACCTCATGCTTTTCACTGAACCCCCTGAGGGTCATATCTTGGGAGTAAGGACCATATCCCAGGACGAAGACTTACACCATCAGACTAAGGGCAAAACAGACCACCATGGCAAAGCCTAAAACCAAGTTTCCACAGGATCACAGCGATCTTCCAGTAATGTGACCGCCCGCTAGAACAAAACTCAACATTCTTTAGTGGAAGATAAACTTTAAGATGCATCACCTATAATGTCCAGTAAATAATAAAAGCTACTATAAATGTGAAGTAAAGGGAAAGAGAAAGAGCTGTTGACAGAAACACACCCAAAGACAACCCAGATGTTAAGAATTGGCAGGCAAGGACTTTAAATAACTATGATAAATATGTCCTTAAAAATGCACATTTTGCAAATCGTGACCTCACCCACCCCCAACATTCTAGTGAACTTGAGTTGCCCACGATTTTTAATCAAATTGGGATTTGGAATGGTTTATCTTGAAAGCCTGAGACAAACAACTTGAAAGTGATTAATGACAGCCAAACTTAATTATATATTTATACCTCCCAGTAGGACAAGGGAAAGAATAAAATGTCTTATCTCTCTGTAGTGAGAGGGCTTTATTAAGATCTGACAACAACTATTAAGGAGCAATAATTGAGTTTTACGCAAGATTACACAGGTTCTCCTTGTCTGGCATCTCAATCTAATCACAGACTGATAGAATACTCAGGCTCCTAACAGTGAGAAAAAACAGGTGAGCTGTGCACAAAACTAACCTTTGAAAGTACTTATCCTCCTCTGTCAATGTGAGCTTATCAAGGATTTCTATAATTTCTATAAACAACCATTATATTTTAGCTGAAACAGCAGCATTATGCTCTTTAAACAGATAGTCAGATACCTTCTACTCTGAAACATTTTCCATTAATTCCCACCCCACCCCCCAATAAAAGGAATTTGGCTTCAATTTTCTTAATCCACTAAGCAATCTCGTGAATAAAACATAATCATATGCTCTGCATGTCTGATGTAATTTTTATAAACCTTCTAAATGTCCTAATATTCATTTACCATTTTGTGAAAATAATATTTACTGAACAAGTTGGATTACCTTCTTTCCCCAGGGAAAAAAAGCAAAGTTGATGAAGATACACTAAAAGGTCTGCCAAGCAGATGTTATTTCTGCTAAAAATTTTGCTTAACCTTCTATGGAGGTTGGCATGGCATTGCACAGATCTTTGACTTGACCTCCCTAACACTGTTCTTGCTTTCCCTATGTCCACTTATGTTGACACTGCCACTCTTGAAGATGCTAATATTGCTTTTACTGAGGTAGAGGAACACTCTTAAGTTTTACAAATTTTGTTGTTCATATTGGTGTGCCAAGAGGATGGCCTCAACCGTTTTTTTCCTTACCCTCCCTTCTCAGGGGGCTTGTTTCCCTCACAACAGGATTGGAGAACATCTGAGGGACCTACCCTAACTATATCCATAAGCAACCCATCCCATTGACAGTGAAAAAGTATCCAGGGACAGAATTCAGGCAGCTCCATTGTTGTCAATCACAAAATGAGTCCCTGTTTCTCTGAGTGCCTCTTGCAGAATTGGGGAAACTTTGTCTTTCTCACCTTGGTTGGAGAGTCTGATAGCGGCAGGCCACAAATTTGTTTTCTCCCGAAAGTTACCCTCAGTGACCTCTCCTGGTGCTCAAAGATTGGTCTCCTCTAGAAATCCTCTCTCCCCATACCAGACTACAAATACGTAGACCAACAGTTAGACCTATTTGAAATTCTCCCTACATGAATCACCAACTTGAATTATCTCCAAATAGAAGTAAATTGCCTTTCTGTATAGTACTACTATCCTGGATACTGCGTGAAGCAAATAAAATTCTCAGAGAGAACCAGCTTCTTCTTATTTAAGACAAATAGATTAAAAAACATGTGAATGATGGTATCTATTGACCACCTTTTGGTTCAAGAAACAAACAGCTGAGCGCTAGCTATACACCAGGAACTGCACCAGGCATTCACTATACAAAAATGCGTAAGACCAAGACCTCACAATCCAGTAGGAGAAACAAACATATCAACAAATGACCCTAATGTGATGGGTTAACTACCACAAGAGAGCTGAATAATAGAATAAAGCAAGTAGCTAAGACACCAGATGCCAAAAAGGGACTGAAAAGATTTCAGTGGCCAATTCTAAGGTATTAAGTTCCTTCCCTTATTATCTGCTGTTGCGTTTCCAATCTTAGAGGTGAATGCATCACGTTTTTGTTTTGTTTTGTTTTGTTTTGTTTTGCTTGTCCAGCTAGAAAAGCTAAATGAGCAGCCCATAATCAGTTACATAAAAAATTTCATTTCCAATGTTATCTTTATTCCAATCCAAACAGCCTATTGTTAAGCTTTACTGTCATCGCAGCTTAAAATATTTTCACTTTGGTGAAGAAAATTTTTTCTGACTTGGAAAAATTCTTGTTTATGATATTAAAGAACTTAGATCCTGGTGCCAGAATGGACTTGATTGGAACAAATGTCATTATTATATTTATAGTATTCAATTAAATATCCAGAGAAGAAACAAAAATGTGTTGGATAAACTCAAAACTGTTTATCAAGCAAGTACCTCTACCAAAGCAAAGAACAAATATACCCCATACGAATGGTAAAGAAAGTAAATTTCATATGGTCAAATCTTATTTTCCATGATATAAATAGAATGGATACATGTTCCTACCAAAAATTTTCAACTGAGGTAGAAGGAAAAAAATGGTCCATAGGAAACCTAGAGAAGCTCTTTATGAGATTATCTCACAGGCTTCCTCAAACAAACAAAAAGTATGGCTAGACTAGATGGTCGGAGAGAAAGAAAGAAACGCTCTTGAGAACTAGCCTACGCTCCCTAGTCCTGTTCCTGATCCTTACTCTTTTAAAACTCATGTAACAACATTCACCCACAGCCCCTAATCCCCACTCCATCCCTACAGGTTTACGTGCATCTTCCTCTCTCACAGTCTCTCTCTCAGATTTGGATTTTTTACAATATAAAAAATTACTTTCACATGGCTGTAATATTCACTTGTACTAGGCAGAATTAAAGTTAATATCTATTTGGTTTGACTTAAAAATGAGATCATAGCTAACATACTGAGAAGTGATTCTAAGGCTTTGTCTTAAACTGAAAAATGCATAAGAATGTACTTAATATATATATATTAACTAGCCACTCACTGAAAAGTCTTTTTCACAGTGAAAAAGATAGTAAGATAAGAAGTTCTTATTAACCATTTATCTGACATCCACATCCTTTCATCCTCATCCCAGCTACAAACTCATCTGAAAAGTTAGAGAACCAATAACATTTCACAGCAGTATTAAAAACGGAATAGTAGAACCAAATCTTGTCCAGTGTCCTACTGAGGAAAAATAAATATACAAAAAAGAAAAAAAACCCAGAGAAAAACTTACTTGCAGTATCCTGTGCCATTGTGGTAGGTAACACATATTCCTTCATTTACACAGGGCTCATAGCCGTCCCGACATTGCAATGCTAAAAATAAAAACAAATGCACATTAGAAATAAGTAACTGATCATAACCTTCAGACATCAAAGAAATGTTATCCACTCCAGGCCAACATTCATTCCCATGTCCAACCTGATCTGAGTTTCCCTTTAGAGTTTTAAGCAGTTTTTTATCTTTTTGTTTTTGGGGTCATAGAAACACGGAAGCTCATCCCAAAAGTCTCTTCCCACAGTAACCGTTTTGTGGTCTTGATGATGTTCTTAATTCTCTGCACCTCTATCTCCCCAGCTGTTACATCCTTATCTCATAATGATACTAAGAAAATTAAAGCTATAACCCCATGACATGCCATGAGCCTCTTGGAATTTGGATATTTCAGATGAATAATATAAGGATTCATCAATGGAGATTTAGAAAGACTTGGGTAGATACTAGGTGACCGTGATATTAATGAATTACTTAAGCCTTCAGGTGAAGTTTCAGAACAGGACACTTCAAGAAGTATTCAGAAACATCGCCAGTACTCATTCAACAAACAGTAGTTGAGAGCCTAGTATGTACCAGGCACTATATTAGAAGTCAGGGGGAAAAGAGGAAATGGAACACATAGAGAAATGAATAAAACACAATCTCTTACTTCAACGTGTTCACACAAAGATGGAGGGTAGACCATGAATAGAGATTGTAGAGGAGCAGACATTAAACGAAATGAAAAGCTAATTTTATACAAACAGATAAAACAATAATTCTCAAATTCTTGAACCCCAGTCGCTTTACAAGGCAATAAAAAGTCATATCACCACACTAATCCCTCCCAGAAACAGACAACTCAGAAATAAACAGCGGTAGTGGGAACTTTCGCTGATTTCAGCCAAAAGAGGAGGAAGGCCACCCAAAGTCTGCCATTCACTCGCTGGATAGTTACAATACCTTGATTGTTTAGCTTTTAGAGTTGGAATTTTCATCACCAAAATGCTTGTCAAGGATCCTAATAACAACTGGAAAGACAAGACAGAAAGAAACCTAGCCAAACAATAAAAATCAAAGTTGAAGTTCACAAACTTTTTCTGGAAGATTATTAAGACGTCCATCTCCTAGGATGGTTCATTACCTGAAACCAAAACTGAGAAGTCTCCTCCTCTGAGTTTCCTCCAGCCACATCACTCTGAATAAACTGTGCAATACCAGAGGCTCTGGGCCTGCCATTCTTGGGCATCGAAACCAGCTTCTTTTCACGGCAAGGCCCAGGCACAAGCTGGATGCTAGAACAACTCCATTAACAATTACTGCATAAGAACCCTCTATCTGCCCAGTACTGTTATCAAGTGATGGAACCATTGAGAACATGCTCAAAGAAATTTCATCTCTTAAGACAGTAATATTTTTAAAAAATAGTAATAACAACAGCAGCTAACACTTAGCACTAACTAAATATCAGGTATTGTTCTAAGCACTTTAGATAGACTAACTCAATCTTCCCAACAACCCTATGAAGTAATTTCATTACGCCCATTCCACAGAAAGGATAAGTGACCTGCCCATTGTCACACCAGTGAGTGAAAGAGCAGGACTCTGAACCTAGGCGGTCTGGATCCTGTGAGAGTGTCCGTGCTCTTAACTACAGTGATACACTGCTTCCCACCACCTGACATTGTGCTTCTCAGGACAGGCAGGACAGGTTTTATTATACCCATTTACTAGAAAGTGAAGGCCAAGGAGGTTAAGTGACCTCCTCGTGGGCATCACACCACTAGCTGTGGCAATGTTGGGCCTGGGACCCAGGTCTGTTACTGAGTCCAGCCCTGTCTCCATGACAGCTGCTGAGGTCACACAAGCAGTCACTAGGCTGCAGCCTGAACAGGCAGATTCAGGAAGAGGGTCATCTTGTTGTCCATATCCCACTTCCCTGTAGGGCTCCAATGCTCTCTCTTCCCACACTGATAAGCCCAATGCAACAACTATAATTAAAACAGTTAATGTCAGGTTATTTCCTCCATACTAAAGTTCTCAAACTGATTTTTTTATTCTCTTTAGACACTTTTATTAGTTTCAATGAGAACTTCCTGACTTTTTTCTATTTGCTTTTTTTCTTTAAATAAAAAAGAAAGTCTCTCAGTAGGAAAGGAATGTCCTGCAGGCACAGAGCAAGCTGCAGCTCTGTCCTCTCCCTTCAGGAATCCTGGTGCAGTGGAGGGAGTCAGGAGACCTGAAAGCCCGTCTATACCACTTACTAGCTGTGCTACTGCAAACAAAGCACAGCCTCACGGGGGCTCAATTTCCCCACCTGTAAGCCAAACGAGGGTGAACCAAATGTTCACGAAGGTCCCCTGTGATGCAAGATTGACACTGCCCTCATTAAAAGTATATGAATGGCATGCCTGGTACCTGGAAAAATCTACCCAGAAGAGCATAAGGACCCAGCCACCCATGACTCAGAAAGCCATGGGCGCAAAAAATCATAGTCTGTTCCTATTAAGTGTCCTGGCAAATCATTACAGTGACAGGTTCAGAGAAATACAAACAACCCAAAGTCAATATGTGGCAATCAATCTAGCAAATAACTTTACAGCCTGGCCTTAGTGAACTAATCAAATTCAGTGGTCAAAAAGGAGGTGGGCTTACAGGGCTAATTATTAATGCCATTTGGCTGATGTGTAGGATCACTCTACCTTGAACCTTTAACATTTACTGAGCTACGGTTCTCAAACTTCAGTGTGCATCAGAATCATCTGGAGGGCTCATTAAAACACAGATTGCAGGACTCCATCCCCACAGTGCTGACTGAGCAGGTCCTGAGGGGCCTGGGCATGTGCATTCCTAACTAGTTCCCAGGCGATGCTAACGCTACCAGTCTGAGGAACCACACTTTGAGAACAACTACTGTCCTAAAGCAGGAGTGTCCACCTTAAGGAATCTTCTAAGACTATATAATCCACTAGAGGTCTTAGGTGACCCAGACGATAATATATTGTATGAATAAACAAAAGAAAAACAAAGGAAAATTTGAGAGTCATGACTTTGCTCAGGGGCTATTTCTAAATGAGCACTGTAATTATTTGACATTCAACAAGAGTTAAAACTTTGATAACTTAAAACCATGACAGTGAGACTGGGAAAGACCTCATTTCAAAACTCAATTTACTTTTTTTCCCAATGTACAACATTTAAATTTAACAACGAAATTGAAAGCAGCTTTATATTTGCAGAGTAAAAAAATGAAATGTTCAGTCACACCACAGAGAACTGATGCTTAAAATGTTTTAATAGACTCAGAGAAACTAGTTACTCATAAAACGAGTGACTTTTTTCCAAATTTTCACCTTAAGCCACAAACTGTGGTCACTCCATAAATACTGGCTGACTGAAATCAATCTCATATACTGTATTTGTGTATCTATATGTGCATGCCCTCTCCCCCAAAAAAGGGCATAAACGAAGAGAAGCAGTGGATTCCAATGTCATCACTCCATCACTTGGCAATGTGACACAAAATCTAGAAGCCAATTTTCAATTTTCACACATTTTCCATGCAGTGTATTTGGGAACCAGTCTTCCAATATTCAGAACATATTTACAGAGCATCTACTGTGTGAGGTACAGGCCATGATGTCAAGGATGCCATGATTAACAGAATAAACTCCTTGTCCTCAAGAACCTTATTTCTATTAGGAAAAGACAGATAAACGAATAAATAAATAAATATTTTCAGACAGGGGTAAGTGATAGCTTTTGATGGAAATAGAATCCAGTTATGAGATACAGTAATCACAAAGGCTGGAGGTGTAGGGATCTACTTTCGACAGGATGACTAGGAAAGGTCTCTCTCAGCAGGTATCCTTTGAGCCAAGAATTAAATGAACACGAATCATGAAGATAGTGGGAAACGGTAATCCCAGGCAGAGGAAACAGCGAGTGTAAAAGCCTTGAGATGGGCATGAGACTGGTATTCAAGGTTTGTATGGATAGAGAGTATTAAGCAAGGGGGAAGAGTAGCAGGAGACAGGCCAGGGACGTAGGCAGGGTTAGATCTCAGCTTCTACTCCAAGTGTGAGGGTGAATTACTGGGCTGCTTTAAGCAAGGAAAATGACACAGATTTATTTTTGAAAAAAGTCAAAACTGTAAAATGTTGCAGTGAGTGAAAGGCTTTTTTCCATTCTTATATAAGCTTATTCAAGTCATCTGTTTTTAGACTAGGCTGAAGATATCCATTTTCTCAGGTCCCCCAAAATGGTTAAGGGTTTTATTCTAATGGCATCTAACCTCCCAGGAGCACCGCTTGAAACATGTCACTCCACCACTCTCTAATCTACAGTGGCTTTCAGTTCTTAATCAGTTCTCAGAATTTACTGTCAGGTTGGCTTCAGAAGAACCAGCTGAGAGGTCTATGCAGTACCTTCACACAGTGCCAAGCTTGGCACTTTTTCTTCCAGAGACAAGCCATTCATTACTTCTTGCTAAACCCTCATGCTCACCTGCAAGACTGCAGCCTACCTTACCTGTCCAGTATTACTTTTGAATGCAGTCTCTTGCTTGAATAGATCACCATCGAACTCAGTTCCATGCCTCCATGTGTGTCTCAGCTTCCTCTGATTGCTGCTTCCCCCC